TGGCGTTTGCTTTGATATCCAGTCTGATGGTCCTTGCCTTTTGACTGGAGTATTTAAACCGTTCATATCTACCGCAATTAGTGGGCCTGGCTGCATTTACACCTGTCACTTTGCGTCTTCCTTTTTAATATTGGCTATTCCTCAGAGACTACCTTCTGTGCTAAATACGTTCAGTTATCACTTTAATTTTTCTGTTGATCTGTTCATTTCTTCTACTGCATTTTTAAGGTTGTGTGTGTGTGTGTGTGTGTGTGTGTGTGTGTATGCGCGCTTGAGCAAGGTCTCACTATGTAGCTTAGGCTAGCCTGGAATTCATTATGTAATCTAAGCTGGCCTTTGAACTTTTTTTTTTTTTTTAAATAGTGAAAATGATAGTAAAGTTTACTGAGGAGAATATTTTCAAAAGCGTGGAAGCGGGCTGTCTCAGAGAGGTCGAGAACCACCTGGCCTTGAACTTTTGATTCTCCCCCGCCCCTTCCCCACCTCAGCCTCCCTAGTGCTGGAATTAAACACGTGCTCTGCTTTTTTTTTTTTTCTTCTTCTTTTTGGCAGCACTGGGGTTTGAACTCAGAGCCTTACCTTTAATAGGCAGGTGGCTCTTACCACTTGAGCCACTCCACTAGCCCCCAGGCCTGTTCTTTTGAGGCAGGAGTTCACTGAATGGCCCACACTGGGCTCAAACTTGTTCTCATCCTGCCTCAGCCTCCCCCGTGCTGAGATTATAGGAATGTGCCACCATGTCAAGCAAGTACCCCCATCCTTTTTTCTGTCAAGGTACTGGGGACTGAACTCAGGGCTTCTTGGAAAGTGCTCTACCACTTGATTCACTCTCCCAGTCCTAAAGTTCTTCTCTTCACAGTTGCCCTAGGGATTACAAAAAGCATCTTACTTTATCACAACCTACTTGAGGTTAACAGTAACAGGATTCCAGTGAGCTACAGAAACTTTACTGCAATTCTGCTCCATTTTACTGTTTCTATTATTATTACCACGTCTGTGATGTCTACGTGTATTTTACAAGCCCACTACATTACTGCTGCCTTGGGTCTGCTCTGGTTGGCTGGTCAGGGAGCCTCTCCTACTAATCATGCACTCTTCCTGTATTTAAGTTAGCAGCCTGAAGAACTAGCTGGGCTGCCAGCAAATGTCTCATCTCTCTCTATTTCACAACATCTTATCTGCCTTCATTTTTAAAAGCAAGACGGTCTTGCTGGATACACAGCTCTGGGCTGCCAGTGTACTGCGGAGCACTCTGAATGTCGTCAACTCCCAGGTTCCGTGGTCTCCAGTGAGAAGTCAGCCACTCCTCACGTTCACGTCCCTTGTTTTCCTCCTATGGCTCTCAAGGCCTCCTTTTCTCTTGGATCTCTACAGTTTGCGATGCTGGTGTGAGTCTAGGCGCTTATGCTACGTAGGGTTCACTGAGCGTCTTGCATAAGCGCCTCTTCAGATACCTTCGCAGCCTGTTTTGTTCTTTTCAAGGCAGGGTCTCACTATGTGGCCCAGGCCAGACTGGAACTTCAAGTCCTCCTGCCTCAGTCTCTGGATAGCTGGGATTACAGGCGTGTACCACCACGTCTGGCTCAGTCATTATTTTTTCAAATAGTTTTCTGCAATGCCTGAACCGTAAGTGGAACCTTTGGCTGACTGACCTGCTATCTCTCCCCACTTCCCCACCTCCAAGACCATCACTGACCCAACAAGGCCACAGACAGGGATGCTATCCCCCAGTCCACACTGAATGAGCCCCCACCCTCTTTGGCCCACAAGAACCAGCTGGTCTTCAGTCTGCATAGCCTGGGCAGAGCCTCCTCACCAAGGAGCTGGAGAGGGCATGGGTGCAGCCCCAGGCCAACACCACAGGAGCTACTATTCTCACCCAAAGTGCACAGGTTTTAACCTTCAACACTTGTCAGAGTACTGCATGGCCAGCTTCCAGAGTGCTACGGTGGTGCTGTCACTTCTATCTTGCTTTGTTGTTGCATTTTTGGGGGAGGATTTGACAATCATAATCAAAGTTGACCTCCAATTCCCACTTATTTCAAATATAGACACACGTAAGTGAGGAGACTAAGTGAGAAACACTACCCAGTACAAGAGATGGGGGAGCAAGAGGAGAGAGTGACCCTATCAGTTATCTCCCTCTCCATGTCACCGGTGGCATGACAGAGTGTGTGTATGTGTACATACACATATATATACATATATGTGTGTGTGTGTGTGTGTGTGTGTAACTATTTCCCAGCATATTCTTACACCTCTGGGTAATTTCTGTTCGTGAACCACTTTCTTAAATAAAAGGGAAATTCCCTTTCCTAGAAACCACACTAACCTTCAAAATGTCCAAACTGGTCACAAGATAGGAGTAAGACAGCATCAGTGAAAAGGGGGTAGTTGTGAAAAAGCCAAACAGATTCCACAAGCAGCACAGTGAACTCTTGCTATCAGGTGAGGACTGGCTCCAGGACTCTGTGCGGATGCCAAAATCCGCCAGTGCTCAGGTCAGTACATGAAACAGCACTGTATCTGCATGGAAGCCATCCACTTCCTCTGAAAAGACTTTAAATCACCTCTAGATGGCTAAGAATATCTGCCAGAATAGAGATGTAAATGCTTACACTGTGCTGTTTAGGGAATAATGGCAAGAAAGGAGCCTGTCTTTTTTTTTTTTTTTTGGTGGTACTGGGCTTCACCCTTGCTAGACAGGGGCTCTACCACTTAAGCCACTCCGCCAACCCTTTTGGTGTTATTTTCAAGATAGGGCCTTGCAAACTATATGCCCAGGCTGGCTTCGAACTGCGAAACTCCTGAGAGCGAGGATTACAGGTGAGAGCCCCATTGCCTGGCTCACACTCAACCTTTTTTCCTCCATTTTTCGTTCTCTTCTTGGGTGCTGGGCATCAGACCCAGGGCCTTGCACTCTGCCACTGAACTACCCCCAAGCGCTCAGCAAATGCTCTATGGAAGGCTGGCTTACTCCGTAGATGTACAATGCACAGATACAGGATGACTGAACCAAAAGACAGCAACTATGCTCAACTGAGAATACCTCATGACGTGAAGGGGAAGCAAGAAGACAGAGGGCTCACACTGTGCTGGTCCAACAAACACAGGTGGAGGTCACAAAAGGGACCTGTGGAGGGCGACACTGTGCCACAGGGGGTAGGGGCCTCTGGCGCACCACGACACTCTGCTTCCAAATAGGGTCATTAGGATGTGCTGTCTGTGAAAAACGTTCATTTGCTAATACGCGTGTGTACTTTTCATTGCGTTTGCTTGCTTCAACTGACAAGTTAAAGAATGAAAATCAAATTCTCTTAGCATGCACTGAACTCGGAGCCAAAGAGCTTCAGCCGGCCTAGTCTGTGGTTAAATGCAGCCGAGTCCTGTGCGGGACTGAACACCCCCGGGGACCACGGCTGGAGGGAGGCTCCCGCGGGTGGCCCCAGTCAGACACCACCAAAGGGAGTCCAAAGACAACCCACCCTAATACTGAAACCAGGCCGCTCCCCCCAGAATGGGCTCCAGCTCTACAACGGCTCAAACCCATGAGTGTACCTCCCCAAATCACTGAACAAGACGCCTAGTGCACGAGTGCTACACGAGATGCCCCGTTCTGAATAAACCTGTGAGCTGTCTGAGGGGAGCTGTCACCAACACTGTCTCAGCACCCACCCCATCACATGTGCCAGTGGTTGAGGCGATCTCTGGCCCTTGCTTCCTTGTGTTCTCCATGTGTCATAAGGAAAGCATCCTAACCCGTTCGACAAACAGCGTCACACCATCCAAGGAACCTCACTGTGGCCCTGGGCGTAAGTCACGATCTGAGGTCCTTTAACACCTGGATTTCACAGGCCTGGGCGTCCCCCTTCTCATACTCTGCCTCCAAACACACTCCCAGCTTCTCATTTACCTGAGGTGTCACAGACTCCTCTCTCAACTGGGGACCCACCAAGTCAGAGGGAGGGAAGGGAGCCCCAGACCTGTCATCTTATTCCCCAAATTTAAAAAGTAGCCTTGGATTTAGAAGGACGGCAGAAAGCACAAAAGCCTTTTCTGGATGAATACTCCCACCCCGACATCATCATGAGGGAGGCAGAGCTCCCCCTTATAGGGAAAACATGGACTCCAAACACTGACAATAGCAGGTTGGATGCTGTCTGGAGTCCTTAAGATCACAGCATCCTGGACTCCAACATGGATTTAGCACAAAGACCACAGTCCCTCTGCGGGGACAGCTGACGACCCCTGAAGGAGCAGGCGAGGGCTGCCAGCTTCCCCCACCCTGCCCTAACAATGGGGAAGGTGCTGGTGGGCTATGAGGGGAATAGACAGTCCATGCCCTCGGTGGGTGTCTGATGTGTGGAAGGGAGGGGTCAATGCAGGAACTAGGTCTGAGTTCCTCTTTTAGGGAGAAGAGGCATCTGATTAAAGATATGGGGTGGGAGACCGTGTCTGATTTCCTTCACGCTTTAACCTTAGGAGTCGCATAAAAGCTGAATATCACCAAGGTGCCCTTAAAGTAATTAGTGATGACAAAGGAGAAACCAGCAGAGCAGGTGACAGAAGAGCCAGCCAGGCAAGCTGAATAAGCACGAGAGGCCCTTCCTCTGAGTAGGACCCTGGACGGGGCTCCCAACCAATACCAGTCTGATCCCAAGGAGGCACCATCCAGTGAAAACCTCAAGTTCGTCAGCAAACCAAACCACTGGGTTGGTAAGACAGCAGGCTCCTGGCTAGTGAAGGCCTGCTGACATAGGGAAGCCTAGAGCAGAGGAGTGTCCCCACACAGGACATTCCTCTTCCATGAGACCCACCCTGTACCATGGGCCCTGGGGCTCCAAGAGGGAGTCCTTTGGCCAGAATGGCACAGCTGCCAGTGGGCAATGTCAGGGCTGGAGACCGAGATACGTGCATGACAAACCACCAAAGCTGCCTCTGGCCTGACAGAGGCACCTGGCCTCTCCTTGAAGCCCATCCCGCTGGGCCCACCCACTCACCTGTGTGAGGTGCGCATGTCCACAGGCCCGTCTCCCAACAGCCCTTCGCCTCTGCCCACGGCCTCGGCTGCCCTCGGCAGTCCTGGAGCTGGGGCTTGGCCTCCTCCCAGCTCCGGTGTGCCTCTCGCATCTCCGTCCGTCTTCAGGTCTGCAGCTGACAGCCCTCTCTCCATTTTTACTCTCTTGCTCTCCACATCATCCTCTGTTGGGCCCAGGTCAAGGCCTCGTTTCTGACTCCGCGTCCGGCATGCTTCCTCACTCATCCTGACCTTTGAGGACGGAAACAGCGTTTTAACTGGGCACAAACTTCTCAGGGTGTTGGTTACATTCCCTCACTGTGTGGTGGTGACAGAAGTAGGCACAACAAATGCAGTGGCTACAAAAGCACCCCAGGAAGTTTCTTCACACCATGGGGAGATGGGGTAGAAGAGGAGGTCCCTAGCCTCCAGGGTGCGGCTATCATGTAGGAGTCCCAGTGATGCCCGCCTGTGAGGGCAGAGATCTGGAGGGGCTGCCTATCAGAAAGGACAGGTTCTGCATGGCCCAGACTCGGAGTGCAAGGTGCACCCCAGGTCTATGGTACCGGCCTGTGAGGCTCTGAGCACCTGCACTGGATGGGTGCCATGTGGGATAGGGAAGGGGCGACCTTGCTGTGCTGCAGTGTGACTTGGTTGGCCCCTGGCTTCTCCCCTCAGGAAGGGAGGTCCCCTCAACTCCCTGCTCACCTCTAGGGGGGCGGGGATTGAGGGTCCCATTTAACCCCTTGGGTGTCAAGAGGACACTTGGGCAGAGTGAGGCCAGGCTGTGAGCGTACCACACCCTGTACCTGCGCCACACACGTCTTGATTTAAAGAAAGAAAAAGAAGGGAAAAAAACAGCTGAGTCAGTTTTGATCCCATGACATCACGGGGCTCCACATGACCCTTCCCAGAATTCAGTGGGAGAGACAAAGCACTTTCCAGAAAACCAGTCTGAACCGGTTCCAGACAACAAGCTGAAGTGTTGTTAACCCTCACAGAGACAGGAGGAGGACAGCCCAGCATGTCTGTCTGCAGGGAATGGCTGGCATTCCACAGCCGGGTCTGGGACAGGGCCTCTTAAAGGGGCCGCTCTGAGTCCAGACTTGGGAGAGTCAGGGTCTTAAAAAAACCACCTGAGTTCACCTGGGGACAGCTAAGAAATTTGCTGCTGAGCTCTGGTGGAATTCCCAAAGTGTCACAGTGTTTCACGGACAGTCAGCGCCTAGGGAATGAGGGCCACAGGACCTTAGTTCACCCTCAGGTCACACCTGTGGCGTGCTCTACAATGAGGCCTCCAATTCTGTCTATGTATCCGCCTTCCTGTTGCCTCAGTCTCCTCACTGCAAACACCCTGGGAAGGCTTGTCCTGGCAGAGCCAGGCAGACCGAGGCCCAGAGGCCACCTTCTTCTGGGTTGAGAGAGGCTGGGGGAAACACAGCACTACATAGGGGATATGTTCCTGAGCTGGTCCACCTGTCAACTCTTTAAAGGAGCTGACTTTACAAATAAGCCACCCTACAGGCCCTGGTCTTAAAGGAATGAGAATGACAGTTGCTCCTCACTCCTGGGAGCTGAAAGGAGAGCAGTGCTAGGCCACCATGGCTAGGGCCCACAGGCAAACTGAGCGGGTCTCCCCACAGCAGGTATCCAGGGTGCTTCTCCAGTGTCCAGGAGTCTCTTCCACACATGTCCTCAGTAGGGGGAAGACCCAAGGCCCTTCTCCCTCAGAACCACCCAGCTGACAATAGTTTGATCCTAATGTGATGAGGCTGGGAGCAGGGCCCCCACACCTCCACAGCATGGGCTTTCAAGTTCCACAAGTCCCCAGCACCTCCTGGCGTTCCAGCAGCACCCCCATCCCCCCCACTCTTACCCAGCACCCCTCCCGCTCTGACTTCACTCTCTGCCCTGGAGTTCTCTGGCTTCTGTGTTCCTCTAACATGCCTTGACCATGAACCCTGTCAGACCTGCTCACTGGTAATCTGTCCTGTCTCCTCAAGAGACGGCAAATAAGTCACTGCCCTCCCCACCACAGGAAGGAGAGGACTCTCCTTTGGACAGCAGCTTCTGGGAGCTCTGGAATCAGAGTAGGAGCAGGTGTCTGACAGCTGCCTTAGACACACTCCCTGATTAGGCCAGGGACAAGCCTGTTTAGTTGCAAGATGGGGGGACCCAGATCTCACAGAAGAAGAAATTCTGCCTCTTAAAAGTGAAGCATCCAGACTGGCCTGGTGCCTACTAGGGAACAGAGAAGGGAGCAGGTGGAGTGGGACTTGCAGGTCCTCCCACCCCAAGCTTCTGCATTCAGCCTCTGTTCCAGCCAGGCAGGGCTTCCCAGGGCAATCAGAGACCTTGCCTGAATCCCTCAACTACTCAACTGTACCACCTCCCTTCACTACCACTGTGAGGGGCCAGGGAGAGAAGAGCCTCAGTTTCCCCACAACTGCTCTTTCCAGCCCCAGCCCTCCTCCCTGAGGGGCAGAAATCTGGCAGCTGGTCGGGGTCTCCAGCAGAGGGCCCAGGAGCCCACTGCATGTGTTCAGCATCGGCAAGTAGTGACAGGGCAGCTCACTGTGAGCCAGAAGCCTGGAGCTCTGCCAAGCACGGCCGAGAACTGCGGGCCAGCCTCACAGTACAGTACGCACATCCTGAGCTGCCCAGAGGCAGGTCACTGCGGTGGGGTGGGACAGGGCATATGCTCACCCTCCTCCCTCCCCCACCTCATGAAGGACAAGCACAGCTGGAGGGGGAAGCCACATGCAGAGGTCCCAGCTCTAGCATGCTGACCTCCCTACTCACAGTCACACCCCTGACTTGGGCTGCTGCCGGTCAATCCTGGCTATTGTAGGCATCTGCTTCCTGGGGAGGGCATGGACTGGTAAGAGCACCTCCTTCCTCAAGTTCCACAGGACCAGGGCCACCAGCACACCAGGGTTGGAACCCAGGCATCCTCAGCTCCTCCTCCTCCTCACTCTCTCCAAACTCCCCAGGCTGCAGAGCCAAGCAACATCAGCAATAGCACATGGGCTTGATGTGTGGTGAGGACATAGACCAGAGCTCCCTCAGCAAGGGCCAAGAAGGGCAGGCTTCAGTCCCACCAGGGCCCCTCAGAGACAGCACAGACACCACTACAAATGCCTTGGCCAGGCCAGCCCCAGAAATCAGGGACAACACTGAGAGTGAGGCTTTGTGGCAGGTAGGAACTTCTATAACATCTACCCCAACAGCACTTCATTTCAGTAAAATGTCACAATCTAATGGGTCTGAGAACCCCAGGCAGGAAAGAGATACTAAAACAAGTGTCAAAGACTGAATGGTGTTATAGCAGGAACCAGAATTTTTAAAACAAACTTAAAAGACCAAAGCATCCACCAGCAGGCCAATAAATGTCTCCTGATAGTTAAAAAAAAAAAAAAATTAAGAGGCTGGCAGAGTGACTTAAGTGGTAGAGTGCCTGTCTAGCAAGGGCAAAGCCCTAAGTTGAGACCCCAGTTCCACAAAAAAAGAAAAAGAAAAAAGCCCAAGACACAGATGAGAGGCAACCCAAGATCTTATTATTAGTACTGTCTGAGCTGTAAAATGCCACCTGCACCACACTGCAGGTTCAGAGTCCCTTATCCAAGGTCCTGAGACCACAGCGTTTTCACATTTTGGAATATCTGCGAAGACTTTACCGGGTGAGCACCCTAATCAGAAGATCCACAATGTGAAATCTTTCACAGAGCTGTAGCTTTCCGAGCACCTCTGATTAGGGATGCTCAACCTGTTCTAGAATGCCACAGATGTGCAGAGAGAACAAGGCTGAGCTGTAGGCTAGGGTACTTGGCAAAAGGGTCAGAGCTGATGGCCTGAGAAGTGGACTGGGTTGGGTGTGTGGCTCAAAGGTAGAGCCCAGACCCTGGGTTCAGTCACCAGCACTGCAAAAGGTGGGGTGGAGGGACAGAGAGGGTCAGGGCAGGGAGGAAAGGAGGACTTCAGATGCTTTTTCCTACCTCCATCTCACCCCATGGCCACTCACTGGGCCTCCACTGTGCAGAAAGGCTGCCCTCCTAGGGGATCACAGCTGAAGAACTAAAATGACCAAGAGTGTCATGTGGCAGCACCTTGGGACATAAGGAGCGGTCAGAGCATGCCCAGGATCAGGGCCAGGTGGGAAAGGGCAACATCAGAATTCAGTCCTGAAAGAGTGGCGTGCCAAGTGGAATACCATTGGGGGACAGTGTGGTGCTGCCTTCCTGCACCTTGGAGGAGGGAAAGGGAAGGGCTGAGCATAGGGCACCCATGACGCCACCCAGGAGAGGAGGGTCCACCTTGTTGTAAGGATCACCTGGCTGGAGGACAGCTGGCCAAAAAAAACAGCTGGGGACACAGGCTGGGCTGCATGAGCAGTGTACTCTGCAGATGTGCCAACACCTGGGCACAAAGGGAGGGGCTGCTTTGTTGTTTGTTTCTGCCCGATAAGGATGAAACTGTCATTATCTAAGATGGGGAAGTAAAGTCAAGAGGCAGCTGGACACAAGGAGCACAGAGCCCTGCCCCTAGGCCAGCCTGGGTTCTTAAGGCAGCAAGGGATACCCTGTCCTGTCAGACAATGACGACAGCCGGGTTCCAGGAGCCACCCTTGCTAGCATCAGGCAAAGCTCAAACTCCAGACACATACCGCTGGGTGGCTCCATCAGGCCTGTACCTGGGCATGACCCTCAGAGCACATCTGCTCCCCAGGGGGCCACGCCATCTCTCTCTGGGGCCAAACTTATCTCCTAACCAGGAGCCCTGTCCACTCTCCCCATGGCAGAACAGCCCGAGGAAGCACCCAAAGCTACATCCCTGAGCTGCACCCCCTTAGTGGCTCCCCTCCTTAAGTCAAAACCAGGCAGCTCAGGTGGAGGTGTGGCCCACATGGTGGAGTGACAGCTTTGCAAGTGCAAAACCCAGTTCCTCCCTCATCCTAAAAAAAGAGAATAAAATTGATGGGTGACGGCAGCTCATGCCTGTAATCCTAGTTACTCAGGAGGATGGAGGTTTGAGGCCAGCCAGGGCAGATAGTTTTCGAGATGCTATCTGGAAAAAACCCAACACAAAACAAGCCTGGCAGAGTGGTTCAAGGAGAGTACCTGTGCAGCAAGCGTGAAGTCCTGAATTCAAACCCCAGTACAGAGAAAAAAGAAAGAAAGAAAGAAAGAAGGAAGAAGGGAAGGAAGAAGGAAAGGGAAGGAAAGGGAAGGGAAGGGAAGGGAAGGGAAAGGGAGGGAGGGAAGGGGAAGGGAAAGGGAGGGAGGGAGGGAGGGAGGGAGGGAGGGAGGAAGGAAGGAAGGAAGGAAGGAAGGAAGGAAGGAAGGAAGGAAGGAAGGAAGGAAGAAAAAAAGGCCAGGAAGCTCCATGAGGTCTAGAATGTCTACGGAGGGGGCCCAGAGAAGCCATACCTGGGTGCTGTGTGACAGGCAGAACAGATACAGCAACCTGTCTTGGTGGGCCTGAGCCACTTCCAGAAAGAAGTCATATCCAAAATACCACCTCTCAACTTTTAGACATCAAACCTCATTAAGGCCAAGTACAAAGAACAAAATTTAACTTGGGAAACTGAAAAATGACCCAGCAGGGTACGGCCACACAGAGCAGCAGAGCAGAGTACAGAGGAGCCTCAGCTTCGTCTGTATGTCTGTCACCTGCTTGCTGGCTGGCTGGAGGCTGCTCAGCCATCCTCTGAGCCTCAGTTTCCCCATTCCCACCTCACAAACCTGCTATGTGAAGACATGGAATGATGCTGGAAACAGCCTGAAGGAGAAAAATGAAGAACAACCTAGCAACAGTCACACAGCTTTTAAAATGTTCACCACCTGTAGAGAAACAACTGAAAGAAATGACTCAAACCAAAACTGAAGGAGCTGGATTCAATCAGCAGCAGTCCTGAGGAGTGGATTATTAAGAAACTTTCACCTTCTGCAGCAAACATTCCTGCAACGTCTGACTTAACAGTGACTACCTACCAGACTTCTACACAAAGGAAACTAAGGTTAAACAAGCAAGCTAGGGGCCAGGGCTGCAGCTCAGGAGCATAGCCTGGCCTGGCGTGCACAAGGCCCTGGGTTCCACCCAAAGCACTAAGGAAAGAAAAGGAAGAAAACTAGATAAACTATCGCCCCAGTTGCTGAAGTGCAGCGTAAGCTGGAAGTGGAGGTTACACGGGAGGAGGCCCAGCTGCAGCAGGTAGGACAAGAACACAAGATGAACGCAGAACCTTCAGGGGGCCAACAGAAGTCGCCCTTCCCACTTTCTATTGGAAATGTCCAGGGAGCCTGAAAATCCACCTCATGGGGCTGGAGGTGTGGCTCAAGCAGTACAGCGCCTGCTTTGCAAGAGTGAAGCCCTGAGTGCAAACTCCAGTTCCACAATCAATCAATCAATCAATAAAACAGTCCACCCCATGTGCCATATGCTCCTGACTCAAGCTCTGAACAGTAAACTCAGCCCCTTGGTTCATTGCCATGGACACCTTCTATGTGGGCACCAGCCCTGAGGGGCCAGCACAGTGACCCAGAGCCAAGGCTACAATGGGGTGCAAAGGCATAGCTACAGCCCCCGGGGCGCCCAGCAACTTCTCTCTCATGCTGAAGTCTCCAATGGCAGCTGCTTTCACTTTCACTTTCAGTAAGCAGCAAATACTGATGGCTGGGAGTTAAACCCACACTTCTGTAAATGAGCCTCACAAAGTGTGGGGTTCCTAGGACTTCCCTGTAGCTCAGCCAACAAGTAAAGAGTCTCCATTAAAGACTCCTGGGCCCTGGCATGTGGGATGGACTGACACAGCTCCTCCCACGCTGAGGCCAAGGCGGGACCAGGTGGGGAAAAGAAGTCAAGCCCAAGAAGGAGGCCCTGGTGAATCCTATGCTAAGGGTTTTCTCAGAAAGAAAACAAGTCTTACTGTGCACTGCCCAAAGCTGGATTGTAACCGTAGCGGTGTAAGGGTAAAGTCATGCCAGAAATATAGGCATTTTCCCTCTCATACATCATTAGGCTGGGCAACTAGGAGTTCTCTGGGACTTTGAAGACCCTGGAAAGAGAAGATGCAGGAACACATCTCCCTCGAGTGGTCCTAGGATGTGCCAAATGCCTTTCACCCATGCCAGAGAGGAGAGCTGCCACTCACATCAGAGCCTCCATGAGCAGAAGACTAGTGTGTATCCCTGCAAAATGAGGATAAAGTCAGGCTGGGCTAGGCTGAGCCTAGGCCTTCCCTTTCACGTGAGCACTTTGATGAGCTGTGGGATGCAGTCCAAAACGGCCTTTGGTTAAGTCACGTTTACGTTTCTGGCTTTCACCTTGAACGGCAAGCACACACCAGTGTGCGCATATGCAAGGAGCAGGGGAAGAGGACAGAGGAGCTACCCGCGGACACCTCCATGCGGTCACACTGGACAGAATGCAGGACTATGGAAGAGGTCATGGGGAAGACCCCAGAGCCAAAGGGGTATGTCCACCCCCATGCCCCCCAGCACAGACACTCAGGATGCCACTGCTGCCCACCAGGTAGCAGGCTCATGAGAGCAAGGACACCTCATCAATGTCCCTGGTATGTCGCCAGCCCTGCAGTAGGTCAGCACACAGTAGGGGCACAAGCAACATGTGACACACGAGCAGATGCCACCATCAGAGAGGGACCAGACTGAACCTTTCAGACTCCAGTCCAAGCTTACTGTGGCTCTGGTATTAAGAAACATGGGCAAGATGCCCACTAGCAACTGAACATTCACTCCACCTACAGGGTGAATACAATCACCAGCTCCCAGTTTAAAGATGGGAAAACTGAGGCATGGCCAGGTCACAGAGAGGGTGAAACAGTGCTGGGGGTGCAGTCTGTGCCCCTGCAGGCAGAGCCCTTCAGCATATTCCCCAGCATCAGACCCGAGTTTCCAGAGGTCCAGAAGGGCCTCCCAAACTGCACCTCAGGTTTGACCTTGCCCCCACGGCCCCCAGCCCCGATGTGATTTTGTAAGCTCACTCTGCTGAGTGTCTTTCAAAGTACAGTAAGTTCTGCAGCAGCACAGAATGTGCGGCATTCCTATAAATTACTGCGGGATGTGAAATCAGCCCATAAAAACACGGAGCTTCCGGGGCAAAGGGCTAAGGGCACAGCCTCCCAGAACTTCTATCACAAAATGACAGGAACCTTTGATAAATGCGGGTACAAGGGGGAGGCTGCTGTACCCATATTCAAAGCCAACACAGGCAGGTCCTGTGAAGCCTGCCCTCACCTTGAGAAGACTGGGGCTTGTGTTGGCATGGTGGGCTGTGGGTTTCTGAGCCAACAGGAAGTGCCGGAAGGAGCTGCCTAACTGGTCCCGGAGAGAATGGGTGGTCACATAGTACAGGGGCCCTAGGGGCCTGGGGCAGGTCAGAGGCATGGCATCTTCATATTTGTGTATCAGCAGGTACCCTGTTTCACTGGGAACTATTTCCTGGATTCCCCTAGTTCAAGAGGGGGCAGACATTTTCTTATAGGGGAACAGTCAGTAATTCTGGTCTCTAGGGGTCATTTGGTCTCCGCCCTGTGATTCTGACAACACATACGTGAATGGGTGTGGCTATGCCCAATAAAACTTTATTTACCAAGATAGGCCACCACCTACAGGCCAGTTTGCCAACCTCCAGCCCCAGCCTAGTGCTTCTCCTAGACTGAACCACACAGACACACGGGTGACACCTGTCCCCTGCTCTACCTCTCCCGAGGTACAGATAGTGTTGAACAAACCTGTCTTCCCCAACAAGGTAAACACAGAGCTGACCACGGAGAAGTGGGTTTCAAAAGAGTACTAGAATGAGCAAACTCAATCCAAGCCCAAGTCTCAAAGTTAACTCTTCTGACAAAGCAGAAGATGTCAAGTGCAGACAAGACAGCTTGCTGCTGGGACAATTTCATACCATCCCAAAAGGCTCACACACTTGCAACTCAAGACAAACAGGCCTCTCATAGAAGGAAGTTATGTGCTATAAACTCGATTACTGCAGCGATGAAACTTTAACCTAGAACAAGTGCTTCCTACGGTCGTGCTGAGCGTCAAGCCAAGGCTCTAGGGAAGAGCATGGGGCTGAGAGGGATGGGTGGACTGTGTGACCTCAACACACGAAAGCAGGTCTCCAGAGCTCTGGAGCCCCGGTGAATGCACTGCAGTGGGACAGAGCTTCGCTTCAGGGCCGGGTGCACCAGGCTATCTAGGACCACCAGCCTTTGGCTGTCTGAGCGAGGGAACCCTGAGAACGCTTTGCTGGGCTTGGGGGGGAGAAGCAGCCAGGTGCATGGGGACAGGTGCACACATGCATACACACACACCCTGGTCCCTGCCCTGCACGTCACTTTCCCACCCAGGGTTCTGTCCTGAGGGGTGGATCGAATCCCAGAACAAAGTCACTTCAGGGCTAGCGGCCTCAAGATGGTGCACTGAGCCTGCAGCTGCAGCCCTATGGCTCGGCCCCAGCAGAGGACTTACCCCAGGCACAGGCTCTGTCCAGTCAGCACCCTGATCCTTCATTCTGCCGACCTCTGGTCCTAGTCAGTGGGCACATCACTTTGCCCTGAGTCAGGTGGGGGCCCTGCATCCTGTTCAGCCCACACTGAGGCGATCTGGACTTGGGAACCACACATGGGTTTTCTAAGCCTTCTGCCTGGTGCTGAGAGGCCAACACAGCCACCAGGCAGATGCCCACTTTACAAAAACAAGAGGCATGACCCACAAACTCTTCTGTCCTGTGGAAGGGGTCTAACTGCTCTTTTTCAAAGGCTTCTTCCCCATGTGGGCAATGTCACTTTCAGCCTGCAATGGCCACGGAGAGGCTCCTGAGCAGAACCTGAACAGCAAACTCTCAGACATGCCTGGATGGCAGTTTCTGGGGAAGCCAGAGGTGGCAAGAAGAGAGGGATGTGGACAAAGGACTCACAATGCCTGTGACTGAAGAGCGTTTGACCCTGCGGGACAGTCAGACAGCAGACAATGGGACACCAAGCAGCTCTAGCATACCAGGGTAGCTATGCATGGAGGAACCTTCCCAACACACATGTACTCATACTCACACATACACATACGTGCATATTTTCATGCCCCCCGCCCACTGCAGAATCTTGTCCAAATATCTCTGAATAGGTAGTGCACCGGTGGCTCATGCCTCTAATCCCAGCTACTCAGGAGGCAGAGATCAGAAATATCGCAGTTTGAAGATAGCCCAAGCAGATAGTTCATGAGACCCTATCTAAAAAAGTCCCATCATCCAAAAGGGCTGGTGGTGTGGCTCAAGTGGTACAGTGCCTATCTAGCAAGCATGAGGCCCTGAGTTCAAACACCAGTGCCACCACCAGAAAAGAAAAAAGTCTCTGAACAAAGTTCTTTTTTCCTTTTTTTAGAGGCAAGGTATGGAACCCAGGGCTTTGCACGTTCTAGGCAACTGCTCACCACTGGGTCACAGTCCAGCCCTAGTAAAGGTCATTCCTGTGTTCAGAGCAGCTAACCCCATCTTGACAGTCAAGAAAATGAGATGGCTAAAATGAGACTGGGTAGAATACCACCCACTTGTGAAGGGGTACAGGAGCCCAGCCCTCAGTCTCCTGTGGACTCCTGCCCACTTCTTCATTTCCACTCACTTCTGTGGCCGAGTTGGAGCAACAGGACACCTGTGAGTCACCAGAATTGCAGCCTTGCCGTACCTACCACTTCATGCTGAACACACACAGAACCTGCAGTGTCCAGGGAAGCCAGAGATGATCCCTGACTGTTCAAGGAGCCTGGCCGGCCTCTGAATGCCTGGGACACATTCTCCTAACTCAAAGCCCACCTGGCACTTGGGGGAGAAGGAGGAGAAGAAGAAAAGGGACTGGAGTGCATGCAGCACAGTTGTGGCCCGCACAGTTGCCTACTATACACAAGGCCTTAGGCTGTACTCCTGGCACTAGGGGAAAAAAAGTCAAACTTTGCTGGTTAAATTCCAGCATGCAAGTTACATTTAAGCCTCTGCAGTGGAGGGCAGCTGGTACCTGCTCACTCCAGAACTGTGTGGAAACAAAGCAACTTCAGGAAAAGTCACCTCTAAAAAATGGATGGATCACTGTCCCCAAGGAGGCTCTTGCTTCAGTAACAGCCCCCCCCACCCCCCCACCCCCGCCGCTCCCCACCACCGATGGTGCACCCAGTCATAGGGATGCACAGTGCCAGGCCTGGGAAGCCTATTCCCCAGACCTCCAACTCCCCACCTGGAGTCATTTGGGAAAAAAAGGAAAAGTGTTACCTTCCCTCAGACACAGCTGGTCTCCTGACAACTTCAAAACAAGGAATGGCACCAACTGCAACTCAGCCTGGCCACAGGAAGGCTCCACGCAGATCACTGGCTTGCTCCTGCGCCTCAGCCTGCCCTGACTGCTGTGCCTTCACCCCCTTTCCTGCTAACAACATCTCTAAGTCACATCAGACAACAAGAGGAAGAGCAGCTGACCCTCACAGGTTCCAGGGAGAGAGACAGGTGGCAGGTAAGTGTCTTCAAGAGAACCAACAATTCCCAGGGCTCTAGTGGAGTTTAAGGCTAGGCTTCTATAGCTGACATCTCAGAAGTGCTGAGCACCCAGTGCTGGAAGTAGCACATGTGGCCAACTGAGCCACCAGGGGCTGAGTCTATGCCCGTACCCAAGCCCTCAGCTCAGGGAGAGAAACAGATGCACACACAAACAAAAGTGCCACCTGGGAGGGGGATCTGAGCAGTTTAATCCTCCCCAGGTGAGTGGTGACCAAAGCCCTGGACTTGGGGCATCACTGACTGGCCCAGCACATCCTGTGGGAAGGGACCAGCTCTCTGTCCCCTTCCAGCAGCCATTTCCCTGCCATCTGCCATGCTCACATCAGGAAATGGGAGGCCTTAACCCTTGCAGGCCCGCATCCTGTAGGGCCCAGCCTTGCTGCAGCCCTGCCAACCAGCTCCACTAAGGACCCAAGGGCCAGAAAGACCTCCATTCCTGACAGGATACACTCTTGCCATTTGGCCACTTTGATCAGGCACCCAGCAAAGGGGTGCTATGTTGGCAGTCAGGGACTAGCACGGACACCCTCGTCATGTCACTCCTTGCCAGCATCCTGCAGCATCATAGGTCAGGGAGCCGTGGGTAAGCGTTCTCACAAAGGCACAGTGTCACAGCCCGCACAGCCCGAAGAGCCACACAGAAACTCTACTGCCCCTTCTGTCCGTAAGTAAAAACCTTCTCTGGGGTGGGGTTCTGTAGACACCTATGCCACCTCCTATCAACAGTGGAGCTGAGCTCTGCAGCTCAGGCCACACTAACCTCCTGGCAGAAAAGCCAACCTCAAGGCCTTTGCACCTCTGCTCCTGCCTGAAGGGTCTTCCTTTGGGTCTCAGTTGCTTCTTTACTCTTTCCATTTATTCACTTGGCCCCACTGGTGCACTCCCACCCGCAGGAGAACAAGGGACCGCGCTCAGGTGGATCTCACCAGGGCCTGTAGTTTCCAAAAAAGAACTGTTACAACTCAACAACAAAAAGGCAAAAAAAAAAAAAAAAATTCAAAAATGGCCAAAGACTTAACCAGACATTTCTCAAAGATGTGGAAGTAAGCAATAAGAACAAGAAAAGGTGCTCAGTATCATTAGTTGTTAGGGGAATGCAAATCAAGAGCACAGTGAGCTAGCACTTCACACCTACCTAGCTGGAGAAATTAGCACACTCACAGTTGCTGGGGTCAATGTAAAAAGGCCCTGTGATGGGGAAAGCAGACTGCAGCTGCTCAAAAGGTGAAGCCATTCCAGCTCTCACATGTGCCCAAAAAGCTGAACGCAGGTGTGCGGTGGTGGACACGGACAGTAAAAGCAGCGCTATTCACAACAGGCAAAAGCAACCTGAATGTGGGTGTACAGTTGGGTGGGAAAGCCAAACATGGTGTATCTGACCCGTGGAGTACTACTCAGCTATAAAGAGGCATAAACTCTCATCCACTGGGAATGAGCTTTGAAAAGCCATGTGACATTAAAGAGCTCAGACACAAAAGGCTTGTCCCATCCTATTTCTGTGAAATGCCCCAAAGCAGCAAATTCATGGGGACAGAGGGCAGACGGCAGTTGCCAGGGGCTGGGGGAGGCAGAGTGGAGAGCGGCAGCTGATGTAGATGGCTTTAGACTGTGGTTGTGGGAATGATGATGGCTACACAGTACTGTGAACCATTAAATACCACTGAACCGCACTCTAAAGCTGCAAACATCACCCAGGTTTTTCTTTTTAAATGAAAAAAATCCTAATCCCAAGAGCCACACCTGTCTAGTTGCCAAACAACTAACAGGTAGCGACAGGTTTATTCTGACCCCAACAGCATAGTCAGTCCTCAGGGAAGCTTCCAGCCACCTGCCATGGGCCGTGGGCCATGAGTTCTCACAGGGACAGAGGAGGTCGTGCCAGCCCTCCACAAGGGGAGGACTTAAACTCCCCCTCCCCCCCGCCGCAGGCAAAGGCACTGTGCCTGGAGGGGGTGGGGACGAAGGGGCCGACACAGGACACACCTGGGAATTTCATTCATGAGGAGCCAAGACAGAGGAAGTCCCAGACACCTGGGGTCAGATGGGCCACCACCAGAGGAGCAGCATTCAAGCCCAGCGTTGTCGCAGGCTCCATGCTATAGTTTTACTTACACTCACACACTACTGGGGATGGTCCAGGCCTCAAACTCTCGGTGGTTTCACTTGCTCACTAGCCCCAACACCTGCTTTGGTTTCTAAGCAGGGCCACAGTTGAACAGGCCCAAGGACAACCCTGGGGGTTCCAATGACAGTGTTCCCACTCAGAACAGCCCAGGCCCCTGGAGCCTTCTGGGAGAACATGGGGAGTGAGGGGACAGAGGACATAGCACAGGCCCAAGAAATGTGGGGCTGAAGTCTCTCCCGGGTTGTTAGTTGGCTCCCTATAGCACAACTTCGCATGAAACACAGTCATGTTGGTAACCAGCCAACCACCTATTTTGTCCACACTGGATCAGACACAACTGCTATGTGTGCAGGACACCAGTGGGGAGATGACACAGGTCTCATCTTTTTTGTGGTGCCAGGGATGGAGTGAAACCCCAAGGCCTCACACATGCTAGACCAGGGCTCTGCCACTGAGCCTGACCCTCAGTCTTTGACACTGATTAGGGGGAAAAAAAAAAACCAGTTATAGTCAGAGCACTAAGTGGAGAAACACAAGAGGGATAAGAGGTGCCTAAGTGGAGGAGGAAAGTGGTGCCACCTGGAAGATGCCAGTGGCACCCAACTGATCAGGCCAAAGCCAGAGAGTGCAGTCCACCTCCAAGACCCCAGCTTGCTCATCTGTGACAAGGAATGGGCACTACTCCATGGCAAACCCTCTCCACAGACACCATGAAGGGCAGCTATGCTAGCTGTGACTCAGGCCACAGTCCCTCTTAGTGCTTCCAAAACCTCTGCTGAGCTTTTCTCCTTGACCCAAAACCACTTCTAAGCAGCTGGGACTCCAATTCTGTAAAATGCTCTGGACGGTCTGCACTACCACCAAGCTCCCAGAGGGAAGGTCTCAGTCAAACCCAACTTTTAAACAGTTTGTTTTTTCAGACAGAATTTGGCCACGTTACACTCCATCTTGGAGTCCTCCTGCCATAGTGCTGGGAGTACAGGCATGGCCACCTCATCCCACTGGGCTTTAGAAAATCTACCACGCTCACACGAACAGTAAGAGCAGTGTAACTCACAGCATGTGCCCACTGCCAGGCTCCAAGCCATTGGGGTCCAGCCCTGTGTTCTCCATATGCTACCCCCCAACAACCATCCTCTGAACAACCCTTTATTACTCAATGGCAACACCATGCTGACCTCAACAACATAACCACCTGTCAATCTTTGCAGGAGTCCCACCTGGTGAAATCTGGAGCCTGTGCCCATCGCCCCAGTTCCTCGCCACCACAGGCTCAAGGAATTGGGTCGTTTGCCCTGTTCCCCACTGCTGGGTTTTGCGGTGGTGTCCCTATGATGTGATCAGTCTCATGACAGGACTTGTGCACACCCCGCTGGAAGCACATGGTGCCCTCCTTGGAGGTTGGTGGCCACTGATGGTCCCTATCTGGCACCCCAGTTTCAGAAGGTGCCTGCAGAACTACACACAGTAAGGTTCTACTGCTTCGTGTGAGTTAGCACATCACTGGCACTGCGGCCATCTAACTAAAATGGACCCCTGCCTTGCTTCATCACGTGCACGGAACACACTGGCACTGCAGAGGGGCAGTGCTGTGAGTGTGCCCTTGCTGCCACGTGCCCCACTGCAGGCTTGGTCCACAAAGGTGGCGGAATAAATGCAGCCTGCCTTTCCTCGTGGTAGCAACCTTCAGAAAACCAGTTGGTCCCCTAACATCCTCAGAAAGGAATGCTGAGTCTCCTCCTGTCCTTTGAGTGCCAACATGAGCCCCCAAAGTTTTACACATTTTTCTACTTACCTGTTGTGAGATGGGTCTCGCTCTCCTGCCCAGTCTGGCCTCCAAATTGTGGAACTACCACTCGTGTTGTTTTCCAATGCTGTGGGCAGGACCCAGGGACTTAGTATGCAGAGCAAATACTCTGCACTGAGCGCACCTGTTCCATCAATACATCTAACTCTGGCGCTTGCTCTTGCTCCCAACCACCCGGGGAGGTGAGGAATGGCCTGTAGGTCCTTTCTGACGTCACCACTGGTGTATAACCTAAGCGCCAGTTTCACTTAGGAGCGCTGATATGTGTTTGGAGACAGGCTAGCCTCCAGCCTCTCAAGTGCTGGGATTACAGGCGTGTACTGCCATGCCTTGCCTAAGAACTGTGCCATTATATTTGCATTTTCTTTTGCGTTTAAACTTTTGGTCCTTAAAGACATCACTTATTTGTTTTCTCCTAGGACAAACAAGAGCAGTAATATTGGTATTTTTACTATGAACCCAAAACTGACTCCTGAAATCAGCTGTACAAAATTTCAGTTTGGGACTTGGGTGCAGCTCTGTGGCAGAGAGCTTGCCTTGAGGTCCTGGGGTACACCTCCAGCACTGCAAAAACAATAAAGTAAGAGGTGATATGCAAATACACCTGGCATAGGTAAGCGGCCCCACACTGTCCTCTTCACTCTGCGTGCCACTTCACCTAGAAACCCTGTCACCACAGCTCAAAAGACATCCCTCCGCCAAGGCAGAATCCACCCCCTTGGGCACCCAGCCTGAAACACACCTTGTAGCCATTCTTGGCTCTGTTCTTTCTGAGTGTGGCAAGGAACAGTCCTGTCACAATCACTCCTGATGTCTGACAGCATATGTGTGGAAAACACTTCATCAAGAGGAACTGCTGGGGCAAAGGGGAAACTCACAGGTAGTTTTGCTAAATACTGCATATTCCCCTCCCAAGGAGCTGGGGAGCCCCAAAACCCACTCCAGCAGTGCGTGTTCCCACCACCGGACACAAATCCACCTCCGGTGTTTTCTATCAGAAATGCCAGGCTGGAGGCTCACACCTATAATCCTAGCTCCTCAGGAGGCAGAGGATGGCAGTTTGAAGCCTGCCCCCAAGTTCAGACCCCAGTACTACAAAGAAACAAAACAAAACAAAACAAAACTGCTCCAGGGACTCCACAGGATTCCACTATCAGGAAGGCACCATCCACACTGGTCATGGCCATCCACGCCATCCACTCAGTCTGCAGTACACACTCTGTGAAGGATCTGCTTTTCCACACTCACACCCGTTAACACTCAGCCTGTAGGCAGGGTGTCCCTGATGAACAAACAAGACCCCCGTCAAGTGAGATCAAGGGCACACGCCACGTCCATGAAGCTGAGTACTCAGTCTGCGCTCTGTGTGCATGGAAATAAACATGAACATGGAGCTGGGGTGGACTGTGTGCATCTCAGGAAGGGAAGGGAAGTGCCAGGAACGGGGATATCCCAGCTGACCACAGGACACAGCTTCAACTAGAAGTTAGTATGGGCTATTACTAAACCAGGACACATCCAAAAGGGGAGCACACTTGCATTCTCTGGAGAAACCCCAATCTGCTTGGGTACTAGGTGGCCTCACGTGCCACAGCGAAAAGTGCACAAGCTGAAATGTTTATAAATCTTGAAAGATGACTCCTGTACTGGGACCTCATCTGTGTGACACTGGGCCTGGTGTGCTGCGACTGCGCTCACTGTCCTTTCAGGTCCCCTGGCACACTGGCAGGGAAGAGGATGACCCCATAAGCAACTCGGGGCTGGCCTTTGGAAGTGTCCTGCTGAATCCCACGCTGAGTATGGTGATGCCATAGCTGTGCCTGGCTGGCGACAGAGAAGGGGGTGGGGCCCCTCCACTCTCCACTGGCTTCCTCCAAGGCACTCCGGCCCCATAAGTGCCAAGCAGAGCAGCAGTGCTGG